AATGAGTGCATGAAAAAAAAAGAAAAAAAATGAATTGAAATTGAAAACACGAAACGAAGAGGAAATAAAGGCAGAACCAACGAAAAACGAAAGCCTAGTGAATATTAAGTTGTTTTCTCATTCTCTCTCTCTCAGTTTATCTATTAATTTATTCCATTTTCATTTCCAGAATTATATATTATGTGCTTTTGCTTTTGGTTTTTTTTTTTTTTTGGTTTTTATTCTGTCGTTCATTTTGGCAAAATCCTAAGGCCAAAAAATGATTGTCGTTGTCGTCGTCGTCGTCATTTCATTTTCATTTCAAGCTAAACAGAAAATCGAAAGCAGCAAAAAAAATTCTGCAAAAATGAAGATTAATACTAACCGGAGATGTAATATGACTGCAGCAATTCTCTCTCACTGTGTATGTGTGTGTGTATTGGACCAGAATTGGAGAAAAAAAAATTACTGAAAACTTTAGCAAAAAAAAAAAACGCCAACGCGCCAACATGACAATGATCAGAGAAGAAGGCCAGATGAAAAATGATAGTACTTAATTTCTGTTATATCACAGCCAAAAGCTTTTTTTTTTTTTTTTTTGGTTGCAAGAATTTTTTTTGTTTTGTTTTTGTTTCTTCCAGTTTTTTGCTGCTTCTGTTGTTGTCATTGTTTTTGTTGTTGTTGTTGTTTTTGTTGTTGTTGTTGTTGGCGTTGGCTTTTATCTTTTTATCGGTTCAATCCAATTTCGATTCCCATCATTGGAGACACATTGACTATTAATATTATACACATACACCCTTGATTGGATTCGTTTTGTTTTGTTGTTTTTTTTTTTGTTCAGAAAAAAATATAGATTTTGTCAAAATGCCAGAATAAAGAAAATTCTGTGATGCAAAAAGACAGAATTTCGATTTTACTTTTATCTTTATCCTATTTTTTTGTCGCTATCAGTATATGAAAGAATATTGGAATTCTAAATTGGAATTGATTTCTTTCATTTTTTTCTTTCTTTTTCTCTTTCTGTTTTGTGTATATGTGTACAGAAAGAAATAGAGAAAAAATTCTAATCATCCCATGATTTGAATTTGTAAATCTTTGTCGATTTATAAACAACTGACAAGAAAGCCAATCATGCATAATCGAGAAATCCTATAACAGTAACCTGATGTGAATCTCATCCATAAGTGAAATGAACAAAATAAAAAACTGTGAATAATATGATCATCATTGCAACGAATTCTGGCTGTTGTTGTTGTTGTTCATAGGATTTTCTTTTGATTCTCGTTTTAGAATCTATGCTATGCTATACAAGCAAGTTTTGTTTCACAACGTTTTTTTTTGTTTGAATTTGAAATTTTTTTTTTCAAACAAACAAAAAAAAAGAAAACAAATCAATTTCTGCTTTGATGAACATTGAAAACTAAACTCAAATGATGATGATGATGGTAAGAAATGAAAAAAAAGACAACAACAAAAGAATTGGTAAATGAACAACTGAATTGATTGCAAAAGAAAGAGAAAAGAAAAGAAAAGAAAAGAAAAGAATTTTCATTTCCTTCCATACAGAATTTTCATATTGTTGATCCTTTTACTAAAAATTTTCTTTTTTTTCCAGGAACTTGGAACATACACACACACATGAACACATAAATTATCCAAAAGAATGGAAACTTTTTTTTTGTCTTTCTTTTTTTTTACATGAACAACAATGATAGCTGAATGAATGAATGAATGAATGAAGAACGTTTTTTTTTACTTCTTATTTTCGAATGAGAATCACGAATTTCCTATAGCAAGCAATGAGTATCATTCTCAAAAAAAATTTTTTTTTTCCACTGATGTGAATGTTTTCATATTCCAGACAGCGAAAATTTCCAGAATGAATTTCAAAGAAAAAAAAATGAAACAAACAGCCAAATTGAATACATGTGTGTGTGTGTGTGCGTGCGTGCCTTGTTTTTTATTTCATTGGATTCTTTCACCAACATTCATTCTCATGATGATCTCTGGAATCCATGTGAAAATTCTAAATTTGATTATTATATTAATATTATTATTATTATTATTATTTCGTTCCAACAACAAAGAAAAAAAAGTTTCAAGAGTGTTTCAATGCTACCAGTGTTTATATTATACATTCTGTGTTTGTTTGTGTTTGTGTGTGTGTGTGTGTGTGTGTGTGTGTGACTAATAATAATCGAAAATAATCGAAATCATAATAATACTTGAAATGGATTGCTCCATACACACACACACACACACACGATTCAAGCACGCACATTTCACATGATTGTATGATGAGAAACCAAGAAAAAAAAAAACACTATAAAATATATGACGCCGCATCATTCATTCATTCATTCACTGATGATGATGATGATGATGATAATGTACGTAAAAATGAAACGTGTATTATGTTCAATTTTTAGGCTTCCGACAGTGAAAAAAAAAATTGTATAGATATATCTATAATGTTTCCATCAATATTATCATTATTATTACAAGAGTAAAGAAAGAGAGAGAGAGAGAATCCATATAATCCTAATCGAATTCAATATATGTGATACTTTTAAATTGCATATACTTTTTTTTTTGTGTGTGTGTGTGTGTGTTTTAGCTATAATCAACAGCCATTAATTGACAATATCAAGACAAACAACAAGAATACAAGAATGCACTCATCATATCGAATTGTTTGTCATCATCAATGGATGACGCCAAATGTGTTTTTCCAAATGAATTGATCGTACCACTCATATATAGGTCTCATACAGATCTCCTAGATTATATTCTATTAGATATGATGATGATGATGATGATGATGGTATAGAATCGAATGTTTGCATTATCAATTTCTGGTGGCTGGTTTGTGAAAACAGAATCATGTCTATCGTGAAACTTTTCTTTCTCTCTCTCTCTCTCTGTTGTTTTTGTTGGATGGAAACTAGAAAATTGGATATTTTTTTTGTTCAATTTCGTTATAATAATAACAAAATATTAATTTTCTGTTCAATTTCTAATTTTGTTTGTTTGTTTTCTATTCTGGTACTTCTTGTCAGACAACAACATTGTATACTTGTAATGATTGAATGGCATGAAATGGAAATAAAAAAAAACTTTCAATTCAAGAGTTTTTGTGTTTCTGCATGTGTGTTTGCTTGCTTTTTACTTACGTATACTGTAATTGTGTAATTAGCTAGACAATTAATTTGATCTATATAATGATAATAATGTATATGGCAAATGTTTTGGAACAACATTTTTTTGATGAAACATTCGCTTGCACACACACACATGTAGTAGTCTTGTTCCAAAAATGTGTCATCTATCATCATTCATAATAATAATTCGAATACGATACGGAAATGTGTGTGTGTGTGTGTGTGCATCATAATCATAGGACAGAGAAAGAGAGAGAAAAAATTCCGGTATCCATGGAAAACCGATATTAACAGCATCTGTGTCCAAAATTGTGTGTGTGTGTGTGTGTGTGTTTTGCTCCGTATAGTGGTTCTTGATTTTTTCTTTTTACTTCGTTTGTTTCTTTTTTTTTTTTTTCTTTTCTGGATTCTTCGAATATGATGATGATCGATTCAGAATCAGGGAAAAAAAGTTTTAATTTCCCTAATGGAAACAAACCGCCCAACATGCACACACCAGAATAATGCGAAAATCAGAATTTTTTTCGCTTACTTGCTAGTCAAGAATCTGCAAAAAAATATCCAGAGGTTTTTTTTTCGCGTTTTGATTGTTACATTTGATGATGATGATGATGATGATGGCGGCATCGGCCAAACGCACAACAACACATTTTTCTTTATGGTGTAAAACAGGTTGCGTGTGTGTGTTGCATAGTATCCAGAAAGATTATTTAGAACCTATAAACCTAGAATTCTGTAACAAAACAACAACAAACAACAACAATTAACTAAGAATAGAAAGAATCCAAATATGGCTCTTATTATATCGATTATTTTTAATTTATTCTGGAGAGAAAAAAAAAAACAAGAATAAATTTTAAATTCAAAAATTTTTCCTTTGTTTTAAACAAAACAAAAAAGTTTAAAAAACTTGATAAGCCTTTTTCTCTCTCTGTGTGTGTGTGTGTGCATCTGATCTAAAGAATAATCTACATATTAAGAATGAATGAATGGCTATCGAATGCAAATCAGTAATAAATTTTCAAGTGAAGTGATATGCTTTTGCATGTTGGCACCAGATTCTCTCATTTTTTCTCTCTCTCTCTCTTGAGAATTTTCTTTAAGAATTGTGCAGAATGAATTATCGTTGCACATTTATCTTGTATGATGATGATGATGATGATGATGGAGTTTTCTTTTCTCTTTTTTCTCTATAAACAGCCAGAATAAAATATGAAAAAAAATAAAAAAAATGAACATCAAAAGGAAAAAAAATTCTGGAACAAAGTTCCAGCATATATACAACTCTTTTGTGTCTCAAAAAAAACTTTTTTGTTCATTGAAGCTCGTTTATTGTATGTCTTTGTGTGTGTGTGTGTGTGTATGTTGTGTACGAATTCGAAACAAAGAAAAGAAAATGAAGAAAAAAAAATCCAACAAATATCCATGGCTATTATAGCGTTTCGCTTTGGGACAATTTATCAAAACTTTTTTTTTGTTGCTGCTGCTGCTTTCCATTTGCCATTTTCACCAGAATTTGTGTTTGGCACATTCTTATTTGAAAAGAAAAGGATAAAAAAGTTTTTTCGTTCATTTTTCTTTACTTTCTAACTTTTTCTGCAAGTTGTTGTTAACGTTTCCGTTTTCCTGTTTCCAGCGACAGAAATTTCCTGCGGAATTTTCATATCTTAAGAATAACAACAACAGAACACAAAAACAGTTATCATTTACAGTAAAAGTTTTGGCACATTTTTTTCTGATTTGATTTATTCCATTCGAACACATATTGAACACATTTTCTTTTTTATTGATTTCATTTCTTATTCTGTCTATTAATGATTTTTTTTTTTTGGTTTTGTTTGTTTCATTTGTCCATTTTAGATTGACGAAAACATTTCCCACATTTACTGGATTTCATTTGATTGGAAAAATGGTCACTCAATAACCGTATAATTCATTCTACATAGCATCATCATTATGGAAAATCATCACCGTGTGTGTGTTTTCTGATTTCCTAACTTTTTCTTTCTGATTGTTAATTAAGTTCTGGTCGAAATAGTGTGTGTGTGTGTGTGTGTGAAAATTGAATCCATTCATGTTCACATTTCTCTCTACAGAAATTAATTCAAATGATGATGATGATGATGATTGAGTTAACAGCACAGCCTAAAAAAATGCAAATTTTTTTTACTTTTTTGCAAATCATTCATGATATCCATGTCTAATTAACATTTTGAATCAATGTTCAACATGGTAAACTTCTAGTTGCTTCCACACACACAGAGATTTATTATGGTCAATATATTGTGATCATAACGTTATTGTTGTTAAACTAAACAAAAATCAGCAACAAAAAACACTCACACAGTTTCAAAGTTTGTTTGACCCTTTCACTTATATGTCAATACGTTATTGGTGGTGTGCTCCACCCAGTTCTTTGTTTCTTTTTCTCTCTGAGGTTTACCGATCAAATGGCCCAAAATGATCGGTTTTACATTTACAGAACTTTATAATATTTGTTCCACAAGGCGTTGAAGAGTGGAGAATAAAAAAATTTTCTAAAAATAGCACCTTTTGCACCCAAGTGATCAATCTTTGTGGCTGAGAAGATCAACGTTACATTATGTTAATTTTATTCTTAATTTTATTTCAATCAAATTCTATGTGTGGTCCATGTTTTGATTTGTTTGCAAACAATTTTGATTTTTTTTGTCAAAGCGAGAAATTACAATTACAATTATTTCAGGCTTTTTTTCTATTTGACCATTACAATCTAGGATTTTATGCTGGACAATTGGTCTCAACTTGGCCACCATTAAATTTTTACAATTCAAACAGTTTTTTTTTGTGACTCAAATTGAATTTTAAAATTACTTTCAAACTATAGTGAACGACTGTAAAAAAAAATTGTGAACATTTCAAAGTTTTGAAACTTCTGGACATTTATAACATAAATAGTTCAACCAAAACATTCCATTCCATTTCAAATGAATGAACACAAACGAACGAATATTTGTTGTTGTTGTTGTTGTCTGATCAATTGATGATGAACTCTATGGATGTTTTTTTTTCAATTTTTTTTTCTTCCATCTCTTTTTGGATTTATATATATTTATATGATGATGCAAAATAAGAAAAAAAATACAAACATACAGATCTGGTCAGATTGTTTTTTTCCAAAAAAAAAAAAAAAAATTCTCCTGGGTATAAATGAATGAAATTCTGTTTGGTAAAAATCTAGAATATCATCATCCAATTTGTTTTTGTTGTTTGATGCTCAACAAGGATGCCAAGCTGTGTGTGTGTGTTTATAGTTGTTGCCTTGTTGTTGTTGTTGTTGTTGTATTCCAAAATGAAAATTACTTTTTGAAATCCAGTAAATGGACTGAAACTTTTTTTTTTGCTTTGCCTATATTCTATATTCACACACACACACACACACATGGATAGAAAAAGAAAAAGAAATGGGTATGTTTGGTACGGAATTTTTTTTTTTTCATCATTTATTCTGGTCTCCTTGTGTGTGTGTGTGTGTGTGTGTGTATGTGTTTCTGGAACACACGTTGCCAAACGTTTTTTTTCTGTTACTTTGAGTAAATTACTTTTTTTTTTCGTTCTCTTTCTCCAAAAGGAACATCTAATTGATAATGAAAAACACACACACACACACAAACACAGGCTCCAGGCTGAAGAATTTTTTTCTTTTTTCGTTCTCTCTTTAATTCTGTTACGTCAAATGTAAAGAATTCCAAGAAGTCTGAAATGAATTTTTTTTCGTTTGTTTGTTTGTTTGTTTGTTGTGTGCAAAAATTTTCCGCTAAATTTCCATCATTTTTTTTGTTGTTGTTGTTGTTGTTCTTGTAAATCTCATTTTCCAGTCATTGTTTGTTTCCATTTTTTTTCTCTCTGATGATGATGATGTGATTAAACAAAACAAAACGAAAAAAAATGGTGAAAAGTTTCCCAGACAAACATTCGTTGTATGCGTGTAAATGATAGAAATGAACAAAAAAGTTCATTGAAAACAAGAAAAAAAATATGAAAAAATGCGATGCAAATGCTTATGATGATGATGATGTTTTGATAATTATAGCCACCATATATATACTATGATGATGATGATGATGATGATATTCACAAGTAATTCTAAACAACAGCAAAAAAAAATTTCGATTAAATTTAATCATTTTTTTTCGGTACCAGGTTTATACTGAATATTTGAATAATACGTTTTTGGAAAAAAAAACCGGTAACACATGCATACATACATGAATAGCTTGAAAGGAAATCTTATTATATGGCCTGAAAAAATATTCTGGATATGTTCCGGAATTTGTTCCCAAAACTTATATTGATATTCTACCATTCTTTAACTGGTTACGGATTCATAATATATTCCCATTGTAGAATTATCATATTCAATCTTTGCATCATCATAAATTTATGTTTCATCACGTACAACGGGCAATGTTATCTACCAGTGCTTAATTATCATTACCATTATCTGCATGATTATCATCATCATCATCATCATGAATAAATATGATTATAGATAGATAGAGGCCAAGAAATTCGTGCTACGAATTTTATCAATCTTAACTCCAATGATGATGATGAATCCTAAACTTAAAAATTTAAATTCATGTAAAGTTTTTTTTGTATCTTTGAAAAAATTTGGATTTTTTTTTCTCATCGCCAGATAAAAAATGATTATCCTATAATCGAAAAGATTTTTTATTTTTGAGAATAAAAAAAATCCTGAAAAATTCAATGATGTTTATCAATACACTATATAATTATCACAAATTATATATATGTTCAATCAGCTACACCCTGTATCAGTGAGTCATTGATCATTGATCATCATCATCATCAAATAGATGTTTTGGGTAATTTTTGTGGCGAATTTTTTTTCGTGTTGTTAAATTTTGTTTTTTTTTTTTTTTTTGTTTGTACCACTTCTTACAACTCATTTATTAATGGTTTAGTTTTCTATAATAATTGAGTTATGGTGGATTATAAAATCCTGATCTCGATTTTTTTTATTTATTTTTGCTTATTTCGAAGTAAATTATCCTTTACTTTAGTGAAGAAACAAAAATTCCTTGGTCATCATTATCGGATGATTGATTGTCCAGTGTGTGTGTGTGTGTGTGTGTGTTTTGTCCAGAAATAATGACGATGTTGAGGATAAATGTCAAAATATTTCTTTTTTTTTTTTTTGTTGTTCTTGATTATAAATGATGAAAAATTGACCACAATTTTTCATAAGTTTTTTTTTTTTTGTATACAACAAATCCATTTGTAATATCAATGCATTCTACAACTTTTCAACTGATCATCAACAGAATCGGATTCCGAACAACAGAATTTTAAACCGACCAGCTACTTATCTAAATTCAACAATTTGCCTGAATATACATCGGATCACAATCTAAATTGAATTTTTTTCCATTCACAACTTTTTAATTTATTTAATTAAATTCATTTAAAAAAAATTTCCAATCAATGTCTTGTACATCATAGAATTTCGACAATGTATCAAATATTTATCATTCATAATCCATAAAAGATAGATTTATAATCACAATCATTGTGATTCACAAAGATCAATGATCTTTTTTTTTTTTTTGGTTTTAAATTGAAGAAGAAAGTTTTACCACCATTCATCAATTATGATAATAATTGATCGACATCAATGAATGGATGAAACAAAAAAAACAACAAGCTTGTTCATTTTTTTTTCTCTCTCTCTTCCAACTATCGACTATCGATCAACATTCATCAATAATTATATGTCATGAAACAACGAAGACGACGACGACGAAAAGACTCCTTTTTTTTCTACAACAACCGTCTTTGTCGGGTTTTTTTGCAGGTCTTTAAAATTTTTGTCGGTCTGTTTTTTTTTTTTTTTTTTGAAACTGGATTTATCATTATAGAAAACCTGTCAATTTTATGAATCATGAAATTCAAGTAAAAAAATTATGCGCATTCAAAATCGATGATAAACACTAGCTATAGTTCGATCATTAATCAATGGTTAAAAATATTGAAAACACACACACACACACACACACAACCAGCAATCTGAATCTTTTTGAACATGATGATTCAGTATGTATGAATCTTGAATGAACTTTTTTTCTGTTGTTGTTGTTTTGAAAACAAAAACATTTAGGTTTTTGGTTTTTGGTTTTTGTTTTATAAATAATGATGATGATTACTAGGAAAAATTATCACAAATAATTAGATTCACATCTACGATTGTCAGTGACAATTTGAATTTTTTGTTTTGTTTTGTTTTGTTTTGTTTTATTTGTTTACAGTCGACTAGATTTGTGAATTTTGTCATTATGGAAATTATCATCATCATGAATAGAATACTGTTTTTGACATTTTCATGATCCATCTGCACATACTTTATAAAAAAAAAAAAAAAAAAATAAACAGAATTTAAGAAGAATTTATTCCATCAATTCTGTTGATTGTATATTTATTTATCGAGAATGGATAAAAAACGATCAGATTTGATAAACAAATTCTAATGGAAATTCCTTGTTGTCATTCTGTTTTTTTACAAAAGCAAATTCTCTATTCTGTATGTTGTAAATTTTTGATGATCGATTTAACAAAATCGTTTCTTGATGTGTGTTTATGTGTATGTGTGTGTGCCATACAGATGAATTTATAGCCGGTCGTTTTTCAATGATAATGACCGGTTAAACAAAAATAAAAAAAAAATAAAATGAAAAAATTCGCAATTTTCAACAAAAACATTTGAAATTCGTAATCGTCCATTATCAATGGAAATATTTTACAATTTGTAGATAAAATTCTTTGATTCATTCATAATGTACTTCTGAGAATAATAATAAGCTTTTGGTAATTTTTTTGAAATCGCCACTTTACTTTGTATTTTGGCATCTTGAACATTTCTATACTCAATCCTTTTTATCATCATCATCATCATCATTTATTTTTTAACATAAAATCGATCGAAATCCATTGATTTTTTTTTGCTCTTGTTGCTTTTCATCGATTTTTGCCATTTCACGATAAATATTTTTTTTTTTTTTTTTTGACATTCTGGTTTGTTTGTTACCAATTTTCTTTACTATGAACGATATCTTTCCTATTCAATAATGGAAAACTAATTAAAACAAATGATGATGGGCAAAAGGGTGTTTTTTGATTTTTATGAAAAATTATTGATTATCAAATTGATTTTTTTGGCAAGGGGGTATATATCTCTATATATATGAAACACATTCTGGAATTTTTTATTTACATCCATTCGAAATGGATTCAAGTATGGAACCACGCCTTATATTGGCGACCATTTCCACCTATATCTATGGCTACATTAACCAACCACTGACGATATTTTCTGTTTGTTTGTTTACTTGTTTGTCTCGTGTTTCTGGATCGTTCCTTGGATATATACAAATGATGATGAGAGAAGGTAGTAGTAGTATGGTTTTATTTATACATGCGCATGTAAAAATAAATCAAAAACGATCCAGCTATAAACTGTTTGGGCACCAAAAAAACATTTTCGATCCAA